TCTGTCACCCAGACTGGTGTGCAGTGGCCGCTCCTGGCCACTGCAGCCTCAACCTGCTGGGCTCTGGAGATCCTTCTGCCTCAGCCTTACAAGTAGCTGGAACTACAGTGTGCTACCACGCCCGGCTAATTTTTTATTTATTGTGGAGATGAGGTCTCGCCAAGTTGCCCAGATGGGTCTCGAAACTGCGGGCTCAGGCAATCCACTCACCTCAGCCTCCCAAAGCGCGGGATTACAGGCTAACATGAACATTTTTCACCTTGAGGGGTCATCTGGTTCCTGGTTCAGCTTCCCTTCGAAAACCCAATCTTTCTTTCAATACACTTATTGACAAAGAGTTCATGACTATCAAGGTGGTCTGTTCCATTCTTGGGTCATTCCAGCTGTTAGAGAGCTCTTTATAGTGACCTGAAATTGTCTTCTGGGATGTCTGCCCACTGGAGCTGGGTGGAATTCTTTCATATCCATTCAGTTAGCAAATCTGTAGCCAATGTCTAACGTGAATCAGGCCCTGGGTGGACTCGGTGCTGAAGGGAACAGAAAGACAACTTGGCATGGATCCTTCCCTCAAAGAGTGGCCTGGGGGTTCGCTTATATAAAATTTTTTGTTTTGTTTATTAGACCTAAATAATAGGAAACAAGTCGACTCTTCTGTCTGTCTTATAGCTCTTCAGGTGTTTGGAGATAGCCACAATATCACCCTTGTGCTTTCTGTTCTCCAGGTTACTTCAATCACTCATCAATCAGCATGGCATTTAGGTCTTTAACATTGTGGTCTCCTCTAGATGTGCTCTAGATGTGACAGCAGCCTCCTCAGAATGTGAGGCCCAGAGGCGAGCCCCGTGGTCCAACTGTAACCCATCTAGGGCAGAGCTGAACCAACCTCTGTTTCTGCTGGGACAGTAGTTGTATTCCTCCCCCTTCCTTTCTTCTTTTTCTCCTTCCTCCTCCTCTTCACTCCCTCCTTCCTCCCTCTCTTCATCTTTCTTTCCTTTTTTTTTTGTAGTCACACTGCATTGTTGAGGAAGCAGTCAACTAAAACCTTTAAATCATTTTCATTGAAACTGCTCTTAATCTAGATTCTTTCTATACTATATCTGGGGTACTTGATCATTTGGAAGGGCACTGTCCAATATGGCAGCCAATAGCCCCATGTGGCTATTCAAAGTTAAAGTACTTAAAATTAAATGCAATGAAAATTTGCAATTCCTCAGTTGTACTAGTCACATTACAAGTGCTCAGTAGGCACAGATGGCTAGTGGCCACCACATCAGGACATTTCCCTCATCACAGAAAGTTCTGTGGGACTGCTCTGGTTTGGAGCTAAGGGCTGGAGTTTACACCTATTCCATGTGGCACCTTATGTTGAGAGTTCTAGCTCAGCCCCAAGGTCACTGAGACCTTTAAGAAACTGATTCTAGTTTCCAGAGTGTTTGCTATCCCTCTCAACTTCATGACAGCAGTGGATTTGGTTAGCATTTCATATCTTCATCCGCTTTATCTAAAACCACTGATAAAAATGTCCAGCAGAGCAGAGAGGGTTGCAGCTAAGTTCTGTATTGGCACCCTGCTCTCCAGCCCCATGTTGCAGCCAGTTAGCAAAGTGGGCCTAAAACCCAGATGCTGTGCTGGGCACCAGGTACCTACAGGGAGACCAAAGACACCATAAACAGAGTCCTGCTGTTTCAAAAAAAGCCTTTGCCTCATCCAGGACTGCTTCTGTCTGGCCTGGGGTTGTTAAAGTGCAAGCTTGAGAATCAGCTCCCCAGGTCTGGATCTGGCTCTGCCACTTTAGAAGCTATGTAATTAATGTATTTGTGTTTCCATTTAAACATGGACAGGGTGGGGATAAGAATAACCTCTATCCTATAGTGTTATTGTGAGCATTAAATGAGTTAATGCAAGTATAGCTCTTACAACAGTGCCTAGAATACAATAAGTGTTCCAAACAAGTTAGTTATTATTAGTCTTTGTTAATAATTCTAGGGCTGGGCGAGGTGACTCAAGCCTGTAATCCCAGCACGTTGGGAGACAGAGGCGAAAGGATTGCCTGAACTCAGTGATTTGAGATGAGCAACTTGGTGAGACCTCATCTCGACAATAAATCAAAGAGTAAGTGGAGCATGGTAGTGTGCTCCTATAGTTCCAGCTACTCGGAAGGGTGAGATGGAAGGATTGCCTGAGTCCAGCAGGTCGAGGCTGCAGTGGCCATGAGTGTGCCACTGCACTCTAGCCTGGGTGATAGAGTGAGACTCCGACTAAAAAAAAAAAAAAAAAAATTCTAATTTTCCCTCCTGGACAAGGCCTTCACTCCCTTAGTTTTGTTCTCCCTTAGTTTGTGAAAGTCCTTGTGGCCCAAAGCAGGCCTCCCCTCCCTGATTGATTGATTGATTTTCTCTCTCTCTCTCTCTCTCTCTCTCTCTCTCTTAGAGTTGGGGTCTCACTCGTTCAGGCTGGTGTGCAGTGGCAACATCATGGCTCACCTCAGCCTCCTCCTCCTAGGCTCCTAGGATCCTTCCACCTCAGTCTCTCAAGGAGCTGGGACTACAGACGCACCACCATACCTGGCAACTTTAAAACAATTTTTTTTTGGTAGAGGTGAGGTCTCACTATGTTGCCAAGGCTGGTCTTGAACGCCTGGCTAAGCAATCCTCCCACCTCAGATTCTTAAAGTGCTGGGGTCACAGACATGGCCACCGCCTGTCCCCTCCCGGATTTCTGCCGTTCTCAGCTGTTCACTTCCCATCTGCTCTTAGTATCCTATGCTGGAGGCTGCGCCACAGGGAAGACCCAGAATTGTTGGGCTTTCCCTCTGCTCTATGCTGCCTGGAGGAGAGACCCAGGAGAGGCTCCTGATCTGCAAATGGCTGTGGTCGGGGGACCAAGAGAGAAAAAGCAGGTGGCTGCTCCTGCACAGGCCTTAGCAATATGCTGACGGCCAGTAAAACCTTGGCCAGCGAGGGACCTTCTTCCCCAGGCACTCCGCCATTAACAAAGGAGGTCCAGGCTCGCCCCAGGCTTTCTGGAGGCCTGCCTTGCCCCGGGAGCTCTAGGGCAGGAGTTCCCATCTTCCTCATCTGTAGCAGGGAGGTAATGCTCGGTGCCCCATCTTCCCCCAGGAGCTATCTTGGGCACGCTGATCGCCGTTGGGCCCTCCGCTCACCTGGCCTCCCAACAGCTCAAAGCGGGACCCAGCAGAGCGCCTGCAGGGCCCTGTACTTAGACCCCTAATTCAGAAAAGCCCCTGGGCCTGCGGAGGGTGGGCGTCAGGAACCCAGGGCGGGGACGGCGTCCTCGAGAGCCCTCACGGAGCCCAGGGCCGCTGCCCCCAGAGGGGCCGGGAAGCGCGGAGCCTTCTTCCGCGAGCTCCGGCCACGGGAACAATGGGAGGTCGGTGTGGCGGCGGGTGGGCGTCGGCCAGGGCCTGGCCGGAGGGAGACGGGTCCGCTAGCCGGGCGCCGAGTCGCGGGGTGAGCCCGGGGCACGGGGCCGGGAGCCGGCAGTCCAAGCCAGGGAAAGCCGAGGCGGCGCGGCGCGGACCCAGGGCAGGTGGGACCCGGGGGTCTCCCCCTCTTCTTCGCGCGACCTCTGAG